AAAAATTCTGTCTTGTCCTGCCTGTCATCCCTTCCACTTCAGTTAGGCCTTAAAACTTCCTCTTAACTTCCATGTTCCCAACATCTACTACCAAACCTCACTAAAAGGAACCACCATACTACTTTGATCCCTGTAATTCCCAGGGATCAAATTCCCAGTTGCTAGGCTCTCCCAATACTACAACTGCCTAATATAGACTTTTCCAGTTCCTTAGGGCACACTGACCTGTCAAGTCTGCCTCACCAGCTAATCTCCAAAACTTGGCCCTATTTCAGCTACTCATTTAAAAATATTATTTCACCACATGGATCTTTGTAATTTATATTTGCTATAGCTTACTGTTAAAATGAGTTCCTTTTACCGGGGGACTTACAATTAATGACCAGGGAGAAAGGCCCAAAATAGACCATACTTGTACTTATTAAAGTACCCCAGAAACTAGTATACTCCTATTAGTTATCTGTTAAATAATGAATAAAAAATATAAAGTAATGATTATACATACTAAAATATAAGTAATAATTATAAATACAGAAAATTCTCAGGGGGCATAATCCAAAGAATGTTATTTACAAATAAAAAGAAATAGATGACAGTAGACATATATAAGCAATTCACAAAAGGCAAAACACAAAGAACAAAAAATATTTAAATATTACATAAACACAAAGTAAAATACCACCTTGTGTCAGACAGACTGGCAAAGACTGAAATTCTGTCAAGGAAGTGAGGAAATAACTAGACATACTTCCAGCAAATATAGTTTTGTGTTTTTGGAATCTATACACCAAATATTTTAAAAATCCACATACATCTTTAACCAGTATTTCCATTTCTAATAATTAATTATAAGAAAATAATTAGATGAAGAGATGTTTATTTTAAAGATTCACTATGGCACTAACTACAATAAAAATCTGTCCAACAATAAGGGCTTGGTTAAATAAATTTTAGTACATCCAAACTAATAATTATTATTAAAGCACTTCAAAATAGTACATATTGTATGATCCTCGTTTTTAAGAAATAGCATATTCACACAAAAACATATCTGCATAGAAAAAAAAATCTAGAAGTATACACCCCAAAACGTTACCGGTAACATTTTGTTACCGTTAACATCTCTGTAAAAGAAGTGGAATTTTTTGTGGTTTTTTTTTTTCTTTTTTTTCTTAACTATCACACCTAACTTTCTATAGTAAGCACAGGTTGCACATGGATAATAACAACACACATTGTTAAAAGGCAAAACAACAACTAAGATCACAATTTAAAGGCAGAACAGTGCCACTATTAGAACAGGGAACATCCATGTTCCATGATAATACTAAAGTCAGGCAAAGTTAGTATCAGACAGCTTAGTATTCGATAGTCTAGTTTTTAATTAGTTTTAGTAATACATACGGAAGAATCTTTTATGATTAAAAAAGCACATAATTCAGGTACTTCAACAAAACAAAAGACTTCCCAAATAAAAATGTAGTACTAATCCTGGAGACAATGTTGAAAAATCACATAGTAAAAATCTCAACTGTTTCAAGTTGAGTATCAACTTAAACCCCCTTTGCATGCCTAGGGTCTCATTCTGTTACCCAGGCTGGAGTGCCACAGTGGCACTATCACAGTTCACTGCAGCCTCAACCTCCCTAGGCTCAAGTGATCCTCCCACCTCAGCCTTCCAAGTAGCTGAGACTACAGGTATGTGTCACCATATCTAATTTTTTTTCTTTCTTTTTTTTTTTTTGTAGAGATAGGGTCCTACTATGTTGCCCAAGTTGGTCTCAAAATCTTGGGTTCAAGCAATCTTCCTGCCTCAGCCTCCCAAAGTGTTGGGATTACAGGCATGAGCCACCACATCTGGCTCTTTTATACATTTACCTTGAAAACCCTCACTGTTATGAGAAAGTGGCTGCCAAGAAAGTAAGATTTAAAAATCACTCATGAGTTTAAGAATTCAGCTCTGTGTTTAGCTGAAGAGAAACCTATTATCTCTGACTTGAACAGTTCAGGCGATGACAAGTGAGAGTCAGTAACTCGAGGGGGCCTCTTAAGTTATTCTAGGACTACACATCTACTACAGGTTGAACATCTCAAATCCAAACAAAAATCTGAAATCCAAAATCTTCAAGATTTCAAAGTTCTTGAGTACCAACACAATGCTCAAAGGAAACGCTCATTGGAGCATTTTGGATATGGGATTTTTGGATTAGGGATACTCAGCCAGTAGGCAAAATTTCAAAAAAAAAAAAAAAATCTGATGAAATCCAAAACACTTCTGGTCCCAAGCATTTTGGATAAGTTATACTAAACCTGTACAAGCTAAGAATGTATATCCCCAGGCACTGGGTACAATTTCTAGCCAATATCCAGGGAATTGCTTATGGCCATGTAGAACGTTACCTAGGAACTGTCTGCAAATGCCTGTTTCAACATGACCTGCAACACAGCCAGTTAGTAAATCCTCATTAGGATTAATCCGTAAACTATAATTTTTCAACGAAGTTGGCTGGCATAAAATGTCTGTGGCAGAATATGAAAAATTATTTAACTGTAACCAAATAATTAATGGCAGGTATCCGTGGAAAGTTATTTAATGGCAACTTCACACCTATAAGAGTTTACAGATCAAGTCTTTTTTTTTTTTTTTTTTTTTTTTTTATACGAAGTTTCGCTGTTGTTACCCAGGCTGGAGTGCAATGGCACGATCTCGGCTCACTGCAACCTCCACCTCCTGGGGGCTCAGGCAATTCTCCTGCCTCAGCCTCCTGAGTAGCTGAGATTACAGGCACGCGCCACCATGCCCAGCTAATTTTTGTATTTTTAGTAGAGACAGGGTTTCACCATGTTGACCGGGATGGTCTCGATCTCTTGACCTCGTGATCCACCCGCCTCGTCCTCCCAAAGTGCTGGGATTACAGGCTTGAGCCACTGCGCCCAGCCAGATCAAGTCTCACAATGCTTCCACTGGGATTTGATAGCAGCTGTGAGGAAACAGGAAGCACTAAGCAGAGGACAGCTCTATGATTTCTTTAATTAGTAACATTTTTGATGAAAGCAATTTTGTTGCATAAGGAAAGTTTCCAGTAGAGGAGAAAACTAAGTAACAACTTTACATGAGGGAGAGTTAGTTGAATTTGTGTAACACAAGCAGCATACAATACCAAAACTGACAACATAATTTCGTAGTCACCGTTGAAAATAATTATCTCCTTGCTTTAGTGACAACTCTAGCACCATTCATACGCTCATACACCCAACAAATAAATATATGAAAACTATTTACATTGTTTATTCTAGGACCTGGGGATGTAAGTATAAACAAGCATAGTCACTGTCTTCATGAAACATACTGTCTAGCAAGGGAGACAGATGTTAAAACAAATAATTACATATTTGACTATAACTGTAAATGTCATGATGTTATTAAACAAAAGGGCAGGGTGCTATGAGAGCATATAGTAGGACTGCAGGCAAGTAAGCCAAACACAGGGGAGGGGAAGAGAGGCCCAGGCAGAGGAAATCTGTGCAAATCCCTGCAGCTGGAACAACCTTACCCAACCTAGGAAATGAAACAGTAGTATAACTGAAGCACTGAGATTATTTCTTGGGCACACATCAAGTCTAAGATGTATAAAGACATCCAAGAGATCGAGATAGCAAATGCTGCATGAGTCTGGAACTCAGAAATATAAACTTAGAAGCCATTAGCTTAGAAATAGCATGGGATGCACAGGAACTGGAGATTTCTTAGGCAAGGTGAGGACTGAATATTGGAGGGCAGGGGGTAAAAATTACTTTCTTTTTCTTTTTTTGAAACAGAGTCTTACTCTGTCACCCAGGCTGGAGTACAGTGGTGCAATCTCAGCTCATTTCAACCTCCACCTCCTGGGTTCAAGCAATTCTCCTACCTTAGCCTCCCAAGTAGCTGGGATTACAGGCGTGCACCACCACGACCGGCTGATTTTTTTGTATTTTTAGTAGAAACAGGGTTTCACCATGTTGGCCAGGCTGGTCTTGAACTCCTGACCTCAGGTGATCCACCCGCCTCGGTCGCCCAAAATGCTGGGAATACAGGCATGAGCCACCACGCCCAGCCAAGATCACTTTCTTAATCACAGGAAAAAAAAATTTAATTACTTCTCTCCGGATTTGCATATCAAAAGAAATAAAGTATTTCGTCTGCTTCCTTATTTTTTTTGGTTTTTTGTTCTTTTTTTAGGGGGGAGAGGATCTCACTATATGCCCAGTCTGGCTCAAACTCCTGGGCTCAAGAGATCCTCCCACCTCACCTCCCAAAGTGCTGGGACTATAGGTGTGAGCCACCCAGCCTAGCCAAAAGTATTTTCTAACACTATAGTTACAATACAGTGTTTTATTTAATGGTAAAATTAAATGTATAAAGTTCTTGGAGAAACACCAAGAACTAGGAAAAACACTTCTTTCAGTGAGCCTAAGGTATTACGTGCTGTAGTTTAATGGTAAAATTAAATGTATAAAGTTCTTGGAGAAACACCAAGAACTAGGAAAAACACTTCTTTCAGTGAGCCTAAGGTATTACGTGCTGTAGTTTATCAGAGCACTTCCTTCTAGCATTTTTCAGTGACCTGGAAAATGAACCTTTTTTTTTTTTAACATAGATACAAGTACATCACAAGATTTGTCACTAAAAATGCTTTGAGTCCGCAGAACTGCCACCTACTGAAGCTATATCATGATCATAAGCATTCTGAACACATCAACAAGTCTTAAAGGGATGTGACATCAAGAACAGACAAACCTTCTGCCTTGCACACCCAGAAGTTATCAACTTTCAGAAAATCATTCTAATCCTTAAACAACCTGCCCTACACAGCTTCCAATGATGATTATATAGTACATAACTGCTTTAAAAAGTGATGAGTCACGTTACAGTTACAGAAAAGAAAAGCTGAGTTAAAATGTTCCACAATTTATGGCCAAAGCACCATGTAAGCATGAAAAATGCCTTAACACAAACTCACCTGATTTATTTGAAGCATGTTAAGACAATATTGACCAAACTGCTGTATCCCTCACGGCTCCAAAAACTGGAAAACGAAAATGAAGAAATAAAGTTCATCTTAGTTGAAAATCTCAATGACTGGTATTTTAAACACATGCCCTTGATCAAAATCAAGTATAAAATGTAATTTATCCAGATCTGCATAGAACTTTCTATGATGATAAAAATGTTCTATACTTGCACTATCCAGTCTGGTAGTCATTAGCCACATGTGGCTACTGAGCACTTGAAATGTGGCTAGAGCAATCAAGAAAATACATGTTTCTCTTTTATGTTAACTTAAGCACATGTCACTAGTGGCCACCATACTGGACAGTACAGATCTGAACAAAGCCCCTTCTGCTTCTAGACTTCTAAGATAATCCCAACAAAAGTGAAGCTGTTAAAAAACAAATCTGAAAGTTAATATTTAACGTCTACAGCCTTTTTGCAGCCATGTTTTAAACAGCTTTGTTCTCATCTTCTATATGATAAATTAATCCTAAGAAGATGCAACCCCACAAGTATTCTCTTAGATGGTATGGAAACAAGCATATAGTACAATCATCTTGCTGAATATTTTTTTTCTCTGTCATTTTGTCTGTTGTCATTGGTATAAAAATAGTATGCATATTAAAATTTCAGGTCAGGCATGGTAGCTCACACCTGTAATCCCAGCACTTTGGGAGGCTAAGGTGGGTGGATTATTTAAGGTCAGGAATTTGAGACCAGTCTGGACAACATAGTGAAAACCCTGCCTCTACTAAAAATACAAAAATTAGCCAGGCATGGGTGGTGCCCACCTGCAATCCCAGGTACTCGGGAGGCTGAGGCAAGAGAATCACTTGAACCCGGAGGTGGAGGGTGCAGTGAGCCAAGATCCAACCACTGCACTCCAGCCTGGGCTACAGAGACTCCCTCTCAAAAATATTTTCACATAAAATTTTCTGAAAAATTCACCAACATGACTATTGTTACATTTGGGTTTACTTCCTTCTGGGCCTGAACCCTTTTCCTTGGTTGTATTTCTTTTACATGGTAAATCTCTTTTACATGTAATTTAAAAACAGATACCAATGACAGGAAGGAAAGTCCAAATTATAAACAAATAAATCATGGGATCTTGTAACGAAAAAACGTTTATATAAAACATAAATTATGTACAGACCTCTCTCAAAAAAATTATCTACAAAGCAACAACACAGTTGTAATACACAGCAAAAGGGCTACATCTAATCACTTGTGTAGAAACTTTTATGCTGTAAAATTTCAATACTGAACTTTCTCTTAGAAGCAAATGTTTTGTTAACTACACACACACACATACACAAACACACAATTTGGCTACCATTTTTTCAAGATGACAAACTGGAGTCAATTCAAAATGGCTTTCAAAATTTTAATATTTTTCTTACAATAGTGTCCTCAGTATCTGCAACAATTTTTATTTCTTTTCTAATTACTTTCACATTTCCTATAAGAATGGGATGCTGTATAAAGAGCACAAGGCCTGGGTATTATTTCTTTTCTAATTACTTTCACATTTTCTATAAGAATGGGATGCTGTATAAAGAGCACAAGGCCTGGGTATTGGTGAATTTCACTTTTAGTCAAAGTTCTTCAGGAGATTACCTTCTGAGCCTTGGTCAAATTACTCTGAGTCTCTTTTGAGTTCTTCTTTTTCTGTCTTCTTTTTTTTTCTTCAATCTTTAAAAAGTAAGCTAAAGTCCTTGTGGTAGGCAGCCTCTAACAAATAGAATACAGCAGAAATAATGAGATACCACTTCCAAGATTAGGTTATAAAAATTCTTGGGTATCACCTTGTCTCACTCATTTGCTCAGAGGGAAGCAGACGCTAAATTGTGGTGCCCTTTGGAGAGGCCCACATGGCAAAGAACTGAGAAAAGCCTCTGGGCCAATAGCCATCAAAAATTGATTTCTTCAGTCCAAGAGCCCCAAGAAACTGAACCCTACAAGAGCCACATGAATGAGTTTGGAAACAGCTCTTCCACCAGTAAAGCCTCCAGATGCAACTGCAGCCTCAACTGACAGCTTGACTACCACCTCTTTTATAAGCCACAGGCACCCAGCTAACCTGTATCCCGATTTCTAGCTCACAGTAACTGTAAGATAATGTCCTTAAATGCTGGTGCAATGTGCTATGCAACAATAAATAAGACAATTCTATCCAACTCTATCATTCAATACTCCTATGGTGCTTTAGATATTAATTGACATTTGGATAGTCAAAAAAAAAAATCCCTGTTCAACATAAGTAATGAGTAACATTAGAACTTCAAAGTGGCAAATCATAAAATTTAAAACAGTTACATTTTCAATTCAAAAAATGAGGTTTTAAAAAGTGTAGCATTCGTCATATGGTGTTAAAATGCACGTTTTCAATAGGAATGGAGTATCTCATTAAAAACACTAGCTATAACTAAAAATACAAGCACAACTGATCATCTTTTTTTTAACTGAAAACAGTTCATTTAAAAGGTAAAGTGTGAATAACCACTAAAAGCATCTCAGTGATTTAGTGTCCCTTGCTTTCTAGAATTTAACATTATTGGTTGAGTACAGTGGCTCACACTTGTAATCTCAGCATTCTGGGAGGCAAATCACAAGGTCAGGAGTTCACGATCAGCCTGGCCAACATGGTGAAACCCTGTCTCTACTAAAAATACAAATGATATCTGCGTGTGGCAACGCATGCCTGTAATTCCAGCTCCTCAGAAGGCTGAGTTTGGAGAATCATTTGAACCTGAGAGGCCAAGGTTGTAGTAAGCCGAGATGGTGCCACTGCACTCCAGCCTGAGTGTCGGAGCAAGACTCTGTTTCAAAAAAAAAAACAGCATTTATCATTATTAATTAGGCACTCACCAACTTTGAAAAACTCCATTTTGTCTTTATTAGTATAAGCTTTTAAAGTTCTAAGTGCTTATCTACACACCTGTATGTATTTATTCAGTATTCGAGGCTGCTAACACTGGTGGCTGATTCCAAGAAGCACAGCAAGATATTGAGGTACCTTTTTGAAAGTTCTAATCTTCTTTTTATTTTTTGAGACGGAGTCTCGCCCTATTACCCAGGCTGGGGTGCACCGGCTCAGTCTCAGCTCACTGCAACCTCCACCTCCCAGGCTCAAGCGATTCTCCTTCCTCAGCCTCCTAAGTAGCTGGAGATATAGGCACACACCACCAGGCCCAGCCAATTTTTGTATTTTTAGTAGAGATGGGGTTTCACCATGTTGGCCAGGCTGGTCTCAAACTCCTGACCTCAGGAGTTTTGAGATCCACCTGCCTGGGCCTCCCAAAGTGCCAGGATTACAGGCATGATCCAACAGGCCCGGCCTGAAAGTTCTAATCTTCTGATATATAGAAGATATTCCATGAGGAAACAAAAACGAAAATTTCATGAACATAAAATTGACCATACGCTTTAAATATTCTGTAAGGCTTTCCTTTACAATATAAAGAGCTGTATAAATTAAAACGCATGAAACTAATATGTCTATCACAGCACTCCATAACTGGCTAACATTCTGAAAATTATACTTTTTTAATCAAACCAGTTATATTAAATTTATATCAATTTAAAAATTGTAATTTGTAATTATACCATGGGCAATTCAGAATGCCCACAGTGGTATATCTGAAAGACTCTGATTCTACTTTAAAGACATGCCCAGTCTACTGTCATATATTTTAAACAATTTGATAAAATATCAAGACATATCAAAAAAATGCAGAGCAGTTTTATAATACCTATGGTTAAAATCCATCTCCTTGGCCAGGCATGGTGGCTCACACCTGTAATCCCAGCACTTTGGGAGGCAAAGGTGGGTGGATCACCTGAGGTCAGGAGTTCGAGGCCAGCCTGGCCAACATGGTGAAACCCTGTTTCTACTAAAAATGCAAAAATTAGCTGGGTGTGGTGGCAGGCACCTGTAGTCCCAGCTACTCTGGAGGCTGAGGCAGGAGAATCACTTCAACTGAGGAGGCAGAGGTTGCAGTGAGCCGAGATTGCACCACTGCACTCCAGCACAGGTGACAGGGCGAGACTGTCTCAAAAAATCAAAAAATAATAAAAATAGGCCGGGCACGGTGGCTCACGCCTATAATCCCAGCACTTTGGGAGGCCGAGGCGCATGGATCACGAGGTCAAGAGATTGAGACCATCTTGGTCAACAAGGTGAAACCCTGTCTCTACTAAAAATACAAAAATTAGCTGGGCATGGTGATGCGTGTCTGTAGTCCCAGCTACTTGGGAGGCTGAGGCAGGAGAATTGCTTGAACCCAGAAGGCGGAGGTTGTGGTGAGACGAGATCGCACCATTGCACTCCAGCCTGGGTAACAACAGCGAAACTCCATCTCAAAAAAAAATAATAATAATAAAAAGCCACTTCCTCTATGAAAAAAGTTTCCAGCTACAGTTGATTCCAATTATAACCAAGTACTTTCAGAGAAATGTATCCATGTGTCCCAAAAATGCCCTCCAGTGATCTGGTCAGGCATATTAGGACAGGCAATACCAGATTCCAAACTACTAAATGAAAAGAGGCAGGGCAGTTTATGGGGAGAGGGCACTACAAACTGGGGAAGATGTGATACTCATGAAGAATTAATAAATCCAACCTGTAACTGCAATGCACTGCTGATATAAGTCGTACTTTACGAATTACATTTTGCCCATCTGAGAATTTAAAAGCTACACAAAAAAATGTATATAATCCCCAGTAATTAAACTGCTTTATAAAATTGCATTGTTATTAAACTAGTATTTATAATTTTTTATATCAGCACCCATCCTACAGTTGATAGGCAATTCTAACTTAAATGCCTTATTTGAAAACATGAAAAGCAAAACAAAATTTACTATCCCTATTCTTAGACTACAAACTGCTACAAAACTATCAATTCAATGCTTCTTACTCTAAAAAGGTCATGGGGTCCCTTAAAGAGCTTTTTAAAGTGTTTTTCATTTTGATTTTTTAAAGTAGGTACCCAAACACTGCTTTTATGTAAGAAAACGTAAGTCTTACTCCACAAACTATTCTAGTGGAAATAAATGCCACAGGCCAGGGGCAAAAAAAAAGGAAACTAACATCAGATACCAATTTTATATGTGAGGTGCCACATTTTGCCATTTTTACATTAACTCATTTAATCCTCATCATCTTGAGATGTAGGCATTATCTCCATTTTTCTAGAGGTTTGGTTATTTGCCTACAGTCACACTGCTAGGATTAAAACCCAGTTCACTCTGGCTCAAAGTCCTATTTTCTTCACTACATACCAAATTATAAAAGACTTGCCTTTTTTAAATTTTTTAAGCATCAGCGTGGTGAAAAATAAAAGATTTGCCTTCTTATTAAGTCAAGGGCTTTACCTCTAGGACAACATAACAGCAAAGCTCCTATATAGAACTAGGGGAGGATTATTTAAAATTAAACGATGCACACATAAAAATTATAATCATTATGATTCTAGACACTCATCTAATATTTTGTGTCCCTATAAGGGACACAAATATATCTAAGTGTGAATAATCACACTGTGCATGTCTCAAACTATGCAATAGAGAATTCAACTTTGCAGTATCTAGAGTTTTCCCTCTATTATGATCTGCACACATAAATGATCAGATACCCAGCACTGAACGTGTCTAAAAAAAAAGGAGATAACAGGAGTAAAGAGAAGGGTAGGCACAAAGGAAAAAAAACAAAAACCATTTGGAAGACTATCTCTTCTAGAACCTAAACAGTAATCCTCGATTTCTGGATTATCTGTATATTTAAAAGCTTGATGACTATCTCAGATTTTTTTATATTCATATTCTTTGTTGAAAAGCAAACCAAGTCACCCTTCCTAGCACTTCATTCCAGACAAGCCAAGTAAGCTAAAATGTAAAATTCACACGATTTTCCAAGCTGAAGTATTTAGGAGTTAAGGACCACAATGTATGTAACTTAAATGGTCCAGGGGAAAAATATTTTGTGTCTGATAGAGAGCAAATAATAAATGCAGAAAACATTAACAGGTGAATCTGAATAAAGGTTACCAAAATGTTTGTATTATTCTTGTAATTTTTCTGTAAAGTTGAAATTATTTCCAAATAAATTAAAATTTTTAAATTACACAGCATTCTATTTGAAATTAACAATACATACTTGGATCATACAGCAACATTCTTACAAATACAAAACACTGGTTTTTATGGAAAAAAATATGCAGTAATTTGTGAGCAAGTATGTACCATATCCTACCAACTAATCATCACTTAGGAATAAATTTCAGACTACCCTACCATATAATAAAATGTGGCAATGGTGACTTGACTTGAAACCATAGCAGGAAAAACACACAAACACACCAGATAGTTTGGCATAACTGCTTCACAAATTTAATACAGGCCTGCTGCAAAATGCAGCAATCTACAATTAAAGTGATATGTGATATCTCTGGTTCGCAGTAAAATACAAATTGAACAATGAAAATCTTGCCATATTACAAAACAGAAATGGAGAGTAAGTCTTGGTTTTGGTAGTTTTATTAAATAACATTTTTCCACCGCAGCTCAGTTCACAACTGTATACTTGAACCACCTAGAGAAAGCAAGGACGGGGAAAAAATATCCTGGCGAAATACTGAAATATTTTCTCCTCCAACGTTACTATCATCCTGCCTGCCCATCACAATTTTGATTTCAAGTATTCACTATGCTGGTCTAAAACAGAGGATGCATCAGAAACCAAGTAATGCTCAGCAAAAGTTCACTAAAATTATAAAATCAAACATAAAATAATAAACGTTTTTCAGTTAACAGTAAAGTATCTTTAAAGGATCATCTCCATCCTTTCTTCAGGATCCACCCACTTTAAAATCCTTTGGTAAGTTCCCAGGTCTATCCGAATTGAATGGTCCCTCTCTATCTACTTAAACAGTTCTTAACCCTTTGGAGTGGGGATGGGGGTAGGGGGACATCACAGACAATATGGACCCTTACCAAAGAAAATTATTCACAAATGCAAAATTCTACACATACATCCAAGGACTTTCAGAACCCCACGGCCATTATGCCCATCCCCTCCAGAATCCCAGCGTGGCGTGCTCCTCAATCGCCTCTGCGGAGCACCCCCCGCCTCCGGGCCACAGCCCCCGGGTTGCCCCCGGAGAGATCGGAGTTCCTGCTCTCACACAGTGGATTCCGTAACAGAGCTTTGTCTCCTCGCCCAACTCCCTTCACCCTGGCAAGGTCACTACCGCCAACTACCCCTTTAAGCCGAGCCATCATGGTATGAGTTCGTAGGAGCCACAGCAGAACTTGCCCGTCATAGGATATATTTTGTCCCCTCGGCCCCACCTACCTTCCCCATTTCGGCAAGTTACGTCTTTACCACTCACCCATTCTACAGAAATAGCCGCCGCCACCCCCCGGAGCGCCCCGGCCCCGTCGCTCCGCCTCCAGCACCCTCAGGCCCATTCCCCGCAGACCCTCCCCGGGTCGCCCTCCTCAGTCCTCCCCCAGGTGCTCCCCCTCCCTCACGGCCACACTGCGGCTGCACTCGCCGTCCCCTCTTCCGGCCGTAACCACCCTGGCCTCCGAGACCCCCAGCCTCCAGCGCCCACAGCCGCGCTCCTGCCTCCCCCACCTCTGCACCCCGACTTGGCCCGGCCTCCTCGCCTTCTTCCCGGCTCCTCCCTCAGGACACCTGTGTCGTCCCACCCCCTCCACCACACACGCCCCCCCACACCCCAATTGCTTCGCCTCCCGGCCCTCCCTCCCTCCCCCGCCGGTCTCCCCTCCCGCCGCCGCCCGGAGAGAGCCGGAGGAGGGAGGGAAGGCGCGGGGGAGGGGAGGCCGCGAAGGGGGCCGCTGTTCTCCGGGTTCACCGCGCCGCGGACCTGCAAGGCTCCCCAGCGCCCTCTGCCTCCTCCGCCGTAGGGGCGGAAGTCGGGGTCTCCCGGGCGCCCCAGATGAGGGGTATTTACCTTCTTGCCGGGGACACTTTGCCGACGGCTCCAACATTGGCAAACACTACAGTGAACTGACCCCGCTCGGCCGCCGCCGGCTTCCACCCCTCGGGCTCCCCGCCCCCCGCCTCCGCCCGCCTCCCCGGCGCTCGCGCCGCGCGCCCCCGCCTGCGCAGCCGCTCCCGCGCCCCAGCACGCCTGGCCGGCGCGCGCGCCCAGCGCCAGCTCTACCTCCACTCCGCCTCCCGCCAGCCCGCGACTCAGCGCGGCCATTGTTCGCGACGCCGCTCCCGCCCCCTGTCGGCTGCCGGGCCCCCGCAGCTGCAGGCTCTGCGGGGCCAGCGGCGGGGAGCTGGACCCCAGGGCGAGGGCCGTTCCCGGGGGCCTTGGGCACGCGGGCGGGCGAGTGCGCGAGGAGCGCGCCCCGTCCGCAGTCTCCTCGTCCCCGGCGCGGCTCCCCACCCCCTCGTCTGCCAAGGGTGGGCCTGGGGCAGCCCCTTCCACACCTGCACTCCGCAACTTCCTTCCCCGCCCGACTGACCGTCTGCTCTTTCTGATCTGCACCCTGTGCTCGGATTCCCCGCTCGTACCTTTCCCAGGCTCTCTGGCTGCCCCTCTCTGCCGTGCAGGGGACGCGCGACCATCCCGCGTCTGCTCCGGCCGCCGCTGTGCGACGCACGATTTAGCGGATCCTGCACCTTTCCAGACGGGGGAGGGGGCGGGGAGGAGTTTGTTTCACCGTCTCGCCCAGCAAACACCAGGGATCCGTAATCACCTGCTCGCCAAGACCGGCGGCGTAGCCAGACCTCCTCCTCCACCGAAAGAATGAGTCACATGAAAAAGAAATCCTTGGAGCCAAAAATGAGGACCATTGAAAACAATGCCCTAGATCCTAGATTTATGCAGCAAGAGTGCCAGAAAACACAAATTACCTCTTGATTCGTCCTGATTTTGATTTGGATTACTTTTGTCTGAATAACTTCAACCCAGTTAAGCTCGATGAAACTGAACACTTCGTTTATTAAACGGCACCAAAAATAATCTGACAATAAAAGAAATTTCGAAACCGAATTATTAGTGTGTTTTCGCAAACTTATCCATTTGCAACGTTATTTCTAGGGTTTCTTCCCAGTGTCGTTTATCTGACTGAGAAATGTCTCCCAGGCCGGTAATTTCAGTCATCATCTAAAACCAATCTCCTGTCTGCAACTGGAAAGGTAGGGTGTGTTCTGGTTAAGGGCCCGGGCGCCAGAGTCAAATACTAAGGCTGGTTATCCGCTTGCTAACTGGAGAGGAGACCGCAGAAATGTTACTTACCCTGTGCATCAGGAGGAGACTACATGTGATATTTTCTATTTAAATGTGACAATGCATATGAAGCCCTTTAAGTAGGGCCTGGCATGTAGTACCTCTCCCAGCACAATGTTAGCTACAGCTATATTTTTCCTCCCAGAACTCTTTGCGCGTTTTCACCTCTGCCAGTTCCCTCAGATTTAACATGTTGCATCCTCCCTAAATCTGTAGCGCTCCTTCTAGGGGCTCAACACCTAGTCAGCATTCTAATATAGTCAGTAGAATGCCTCACCTAACCAGAGGAAACTATGTTCTGAGGAACGTGTCATTAAGCGATTGTCATTTTGTGCACATCATAGTGTGTTCTTACACAAACCTAGGTAGTCTAGCCCACTATTCACCTTTGCTATATGATATATAGCTATTGCTCCTAGGCTACAAACCTGTACGGTGCATTACTGTACTAATACTGTAGGCAATTGCAACACAATGGTATTTGTACCTAAACATATCTAAACATAGAAAACATACAGTAAAAGAACTATATCTTTGTTTGTTTGTTTTTGAGAGGAAGTCTTGCTCTGTCGCCCAGACTGGAGCACAATCTGAGCTCACTGCAACCTCTGATTCTCCTGTCTCTGGTAGCTGGGATTACAGGAGCATGCCACCACACCCAGCTAATTTATGTATTTTTAGTACGGACAGGGTTTCACCATGTTGGCCAGGCTAGTCTCAAACTCCTGACCTAAAGTGATCCTCCCGCCTCAACCTCCCAAGGTGCTGAGATTACAGGCATGAGTCACCTGCAGTATTGTTGTATATGCAGTCCACGCATCCATTATTGACTGGAAGAAGTTGACCAAAAATTGTTGAATGTTTTGAATGAGTATCCTCCCTTCCCACCAGCCATACCAAAGGTCAAGCCACCTATCTCTGTGCCTTTCCATTGGCTATTATCTCTCGCTGCAGGCTACCCTCTACCCTCCTCTCACCTGGTGAACAAATTATCTCTCCCAGCATTCAAAAATCACCTTCTTGGCTGGGTGAAATGGCTCACGCCTGTAATCCCAGCACTTTGGGAGGCCAAGGCGGGCAGATCACGAGGTCAGTAGTTCGAGACCAGCCTGGCTAACATGGTGAAACCTCATCTCTACCAAAAATACAAAAATTAGCCAGGTGTGGTGATGGGCACATGCAATCTCAGCTATTTGGAAGGCTAAGGCAGGAGAATCAGTTGAACCTGGGAGGCAGAGGTTGCAGTGAGCTGAGATCATGTCACTGCACTCCAGCCTTGGTGACAGAGCAAGACTCCATCTTGAGAAAAGAAAAGAAAAAAAATCACCTCCTTGAGAGGCATTCTCTAACACTCCTCTAAGCAGGCCAGTGCTCTTCTATTGTTCCTCTCTTCTCTGATATTGTAGGTATGTTAGAATTGTGTTTTCTAGCCTGTCTATATCTGCCAAACATTGCATTGTTGAAAGGCAGGCTCTATGTCTCATACATATCTGTAGTCCCAGCATCCAGCAACAAGTAGGTGAATTGTAAATGCCTTTAGTGTAAATGGATGAGTTTATGCTTTTGGAAATCACTCTGAAGTGGTCAGAAATTTCATTCTCTTGGATTCAATCATTAAAGTTAATTGAAAACTTTATCTCCTATAACTGTTTCTCATAACTGATTTTCAGTCATTGGGAAACCCCAAATAGAATGAATTTTCCTACGTCACAATTATCTGAAAGGAAATTGTTTTTTAACTTAAATCAGCACGTTCAGTTGCTCAAGGTATATAGCATCCGTACATGAAATCACTTGAGTGACATGGAAATCCACACATCACTCTACAATCATTTTAGAATTTACTTTTAAAAAATTTTGTATAGGAGTTGAAAATAATGAATATTTAAAGAGCAGTGGGCCAGCTGGACGCAGTGGCTCACATCTATAATCCCAGCACTTTGGGAGGCCAAGGTGGGCGTGTCACCTGAAGTCAGGAGTGTAAGACTAGCCTGGGCAAAATGGTGAAAACCCCATCTCTACTAAAATCAGAAAAACTAGCTGGGCGTGGTGGTGCACACCTATAGTGCCAGCTACTCAGGAGTCTGAGGTGGGAGGATCACTTGAGCCTGGGAAGTGGAGGTGGCAGTGAGCTGAGATCACATTCCAGCCTGGGCAACAGAGCAATACCCTGTATTAAAAAAATAAAGAAAGAAAGAACAGTGGGCCAATTAATAGGCAGCTGATTAAAAGCAACTGAGGCCAGGCACAGTGGCTCATGCCTGTAATCCCACACTTTGGAAAGCTGAAGCAGGAGGATCTCTTGAAGCCAGGCATAGTGGTGTTCTTTTGCTGAGAATGGTGGTTTCTAGGTTCATCCATGTCCCTGCAAAGGACATAAACTCATCCTTTTTATAGCTGCATAGTATTCCACAGTATATATATATATATATTTTCTTTATCCAGTCTATCAATGGGCATTTGCGTTGGTTCCAAATCTTTGCTATTGTGAACAGTGCTGCAATAAACATACGTGTGCATGTGTCTTTATAGTAGAATGATTTATAATCCTTTGGGTATATACCCAGTAGTGGGATTGCTGGGTCAAATGGCATTTCTAGTTCTAGATCCTTGAGGAATCACAGATGCTGAAGAGGATGTGGAGAAATAGGACACTTTCACACTGTTGGGGGGAGTGTAAATTAGACCTGACTAATTTTTGTATTTTTAATAGAGACAATTTGTTTTTACATGTTGCCGAGACTGGTCTTGAACTCCTGGCCTCAAGTGATCCGGCCCCCTCAACCTCCCAAAGTGCTGGGATTACAGGAACGAGCCACCACATGGCCCTGAATTTATTTTTGTCATTTATGTGTTTCTTCTATTATATCTTAAGCTCCTTGAAGGCAACAACAATGACTTTCTCATCTTCATTTCTCTGGGATTTAGCACAGTGCTCACTAAATGCTTGTTGAATGAAGGGATTAGCGAATTTGACCAACATTTACTGAATACCTACTATGTGCCAAGTACTATTCTTGGTCTAGGGATTTACAGCTATGAAAAAAATCTGCAAAATCTTTGTCCTCGTGGAACTTACAGGGGAATGAATGAATAACGAATGCATAAAATAAGCACTTCGAAATACTGTATTTTACCTTTATTAGAATACCATTCTGAGGCTGGGTGTGGTGGCTCACGCCTGTAATTCCAGCACTTCAGGAGGCCAAAGCAGGCAGACCATGAAGTCAAGAGATCAAGACCATCCTGACCAATATGGTGAAACCCCATCTCTACCAAAAATACAAAAAAAAAAACTTAGGTGGGCATGGTGGTGCACACCTGTAGTCCCAGCTACTCAGGAGGCTGAGGCAGGAGAATCACTTGAACTTGTGAGGTGGAGGTTACAATGAGCAGAGATTGTGCCACTACACTCCAGCCTGGGGGACAGAGCGAGACTTGTCTCAAAAAAAAAAGAAAAAAGAATACCATTCTGAAAATGCCCAGTGTAGTTATGTGTTCACTAATAAAATGTTTGCTTGAAACTCAACT